TGAAAGCAAGATGATAATGGTGCAGATGATGTTGTTGATGATGTTAATGTTGATGATGTTGTTTGATGATGATGTTGTTAATGTTGTTGATGATGATGTTGTTGATGTTGTTGTTGATGATGTTGTTAATGATGTTGTTGATAATGTTGTTGATGATGTTGTTGATGTTGTTTTTGATGTTGTTTTTGATGATGTTGTTGATGATGTTGTTGATGATATTGTTGATGATGCTGTTGATGCTGTTGATGTTGTTGATGTTGTTAATGTTGTTGATGTTGTTGATGATGTTGTTGATGTTGATGATGATGTTGTTGATGATATTGATGTTGTTGATGATTTTGTCGATGATGTTGTTGATAATATTGATGTTGTTGATATTGTTATTGTTGATGATGTTGTTGTTGTTGATGTTGTTGTTGCTGATGTTGTTGATGTTGTTGTTAATGATGATGTTGTTGATGTTGCTGATGTTGATGTTGTTGATGATGTTGATGCTGCTGATGTTGTTGAGTTAAATGACAACAAGATGATGATGACTATTATGCCGATGATACAGTTGATGATAGTGAAGACGATGATGGGAAGGACATTTAAAAACAGACTGCACACCATGATGGTCATGTGACAATAACAAAAATGATGACGCGATTGATACAGATAAGATTCAAAATTAAAATTAATTGCTGAGATATGATGAGGAAAAAAATAACAATAAAAAGGCTAGTGATGAAAATTGCCAAAAAATGATGAAACATTAGGAATGATGATAACACGGACAAGGATGTTAATGACTGTAATTGGGCCGGCCCACTTTGTAACTAAGGAATTATGGAAAAAAAATGACGACGGAAATGATTATGATGAAGAAGATGAAGAAGATGATGATGAAAATTGTATGAAGATGACAATGGTGATGGTGATGATGATGATGGTGATGAAGATAAAGATGATGATGAAAGATAATAAAAAAGATGATGGGAAAGATGAGGATGAAGAGGACGATAAAGAGAAAGAAGAAGGGATAATGATGCCATTGTCATCTCGATGATTGCCGGAAGGTTTAACGAAAAGTTGGGAAAACTGGAAAGGTTACAATTATGATGAATTGATGTTTTGAATGTTTATACCGCATTGAAAATGATGATGATGATAACGGAAATGATGATGATGATGATGACAACAGAAAATAATGATGATTA